TGTGTCCCAAATGCCAATGTGAGTGTTCTGGTAAACTGGACTGGGGCATGTGGCATGTGGGATAAAGGTGTCCAGAAGCTTCTTGCCATTAAGGCACTGATACTGAGAAGCACTAAGCACCAGGGCTAAAACACTTAGCATAGTCTTTGAGTCAGGGAATGGCCTCCATGACATGGAGGGGTGGACCACAAGAGAGGGCACACCCTGTGAGTGATTTCTGAAATGTTCATTGACCTCACTCATTGGTAATTTTGGCCTCATTGGCATCCTATATCAATATTTCCTCATCCCTACTCCTCCCTTCAATTTCACATTCCAGAGAGTTTAGAATTTGAGAATGTGATGCTTCATTCCTGAACAGCCCAGAATTATACTTGAGATTCAAGCATAATGATTATTTGTAGAACCTGTCACCTCAGGTGGAGAAATTATACATCTGACCAGAATAGACAAAATGATACTAGATCCCACATTCATCCCTTGATTCAAATTTGACTTGGAAAATGCACTGGACAGGAACCTAGAAGTATTTTAGTGGTGTAGATGGTCATAATTCTTGCCAAGGTAGCTGTATATGGTTTTGCTTCATCATACTGTTTCTGGAAGTACCAGATGACATCACGGATGTTGTACTTTGTCAAATGCTCTTTCTGCATCTGTTGAAATGATCATATGGTTTTTATCCTTTCTCTTGTTGATGCAATGTAGCATGTTGATTGTTTTGCAAATATTAAACCACCCTTGCATCCTCGGAATAAATCCCATTTGAGTAATGCTGATTTCATAGAATGAATGAGGAAATAGCCTCTCCTCTGATTTTCTGGAAGAGTTTGTGAGTGCTTGGTATTTTTTCTTTCTGAAATATTTGGTAGAATTCAACAGTAAAGCCATCTTGTCCTGGAGTTTTGTTGTTGTTGTTGTTTGTTTTTGTAAGAAGGTTGTTCACCATATATTTAATTTTTTTAGAACATGCAGAGATACTCAGGTTATATATTTCTTTATAAGTAAGCTTTAGTAGTTTGTATCTTTCAAGAAATTTGACTATTTTATCTAAGTTGTTGAAATTGTTGGCATAAAACTGTTTATAATATTCCCTTATTATACTTTTAACATCTGTAGTATCTGTTACTAGGTAACTTCCCACATTCCTGATGTTTGTAGTGTTTTCTTTTTTCTCTTCCAATCAGTCTGGATAGAGATTCTTTTTGCCTTTTTTTTTTAAGTTTTGTCAAGGAACCAGCTTTTGGTTTTAATAGAATTTCTCTGTTGTTTTTCTGTTTTCTATTTCATTGATTTCTACTAATATATCTATTATTTCCTTTCTTATAATTACTTCGTATTTTATTTGCTCTACTTTTTCTAGTTTCTGAAGGTGAAAACTGAGGTCATAAGTTTTCAGATCTTTCCTCTTTTCTTAATATAGGCTTTTATTGTGGTTAATTTTCCCCATAAGTACTTCTCAAGTGGTATCCACAAATTTTGTTATTTTATATTTTCTTTATCTGACAGTACAGAATACTTTCTAATTTCCCTTTTGATTTCTCCTTTGACCCATGGCATACTCAGAGGAGTGTTATTTAGTTTGCAAATATTTGGGGATTTTCCAGATATCTTTCCATTATTTATTTTTCTAAATAGTAATTGCATTATGACAGAGAACATACTTTGTATGACTGGAATGTTTAAAATTTGTTGGGACTTGTTTTATGATTCAGAATATGGTCTATCTTGGTAAATGTTACATATGCACTTTAAAAGAATGTATACTCTTTTGTTGGGTAGAGTTTTATAAATGTCAGTTAGGTAAAACTAGTGGATAATGTTCAAATCTTCAATTTCCTTACTGATATTTTTGTCCACCTGTTTTACCAATTATTGAGATATAAGTGTTGAAATCTCCAACTATAATTGTAGTTTTATTCATTTTTCCCTGCAGTCTTTTTCTTTCTTTTTTTTTTTTTGCTTCATTTGTTGTGAAGCTCTGTTATGTGCATAAATACTTAGGACTGTCATGTGTTCTTGATGAACTAACCCCTTTATTATTGTGAAATACCATCTTTATTTCTTCTCTTAAAATCCGTTGTGTCTGGCATTAATATAACCACTCCAGCTTTTTTTTTTTTAATAAAGTTTTCGGGGCTCCTGGGTGGTTCAGTCGTTAACCGTCTGCCTTCAGCTCAGGTCATGATCCCCGGGTCCTGGGACTGAGCCCTGCATTGGGCTCCCTGCTCAGTGGGAAGCCTGCTTCTCCCTCTCCCACTTTCCCTGCTTGTGTTCCCTCTCTCTTTCTGTCTTTCTCTGTCATATAAATAAATACAATCTTTTTTAAAAAAATAACGTTTTCATGGTATATCTTTTTTCATCCTTGTAACTTACCTGTGGTTTTCTGCCTTCTTTTCAGTGAATTGAATTTTTTTATTCCATTTTATCTCTTATTGACTTATTAGCTATAAATCTTTTTGAAAATTTTATTTTGGTGCTTGCTTTCGGATTTTTCATGTACATCTTTAACTAAATAAAGTCTATCTTTAAGTGATATTATATCCCTTCACATATAATATAAAAATCTTCCAACAGGATAACTTTCATTTTTCCCTTTTCAGCCCTTATGCTATTGTTTTCATGTGTTTTTTATATATATATTATAAACCCCACAGTATATTGTTACTGTTTTTGTTTAAATAGTCAATTACCATTTAAAGAGATGCAAATAACATTAAAACTCATCTTACACATTTACTATGTAATTACTGTTTCCAACGGGACATTTGCTGTCATTTTTATCTTTGGTCCTCTGTTCATAATGTGTTCTTTTCCTCTAGCTGCTTAAAAACTTTTCTCCTTATCACCTGTTTTAAGCAGTTGGATTTTGATGTACTCCAGTGTAATTTTCTTCATGTTTCTTGTGCTTCAGGTCATTGAGCTTCTTGGGTTCATAGTTTCATCAAATTAGAAAAAAATTTCCACCATGTTTTATTCAAATACGTTTTTTGTCTTCCTCTCTTCTCTTCTTTAAGGAATCCATTTACATGTGTATCAGGATGTTTGAAATTGTTCCAGAACTTACTAATATTCTATTTTTTTGTTCATTGATTGATTGATTTTTTTGATCAATTTCTGTCATTGTTTCATTTTGGATAATTTCTATTGCTGTCTTAATCTTTTCTTTAATGTGTGAATAACCAATCTTCCTTTAATCTTATCAAGTGCATTTTCTCACACAATCAAGTTTGATGTATATCCTTTCTATATCACCTGTAGCTCTCCTTATATTTTTATTTTTCTGTTATTATTTTTATTCAAGTATAATTAACATACAGTGTTATATTAGTTTCAGGTGTGCAATATAATGATCCAACAATTCAACATTTCTCAGTGCTCATCAAGATAAGTGTACTCTTGATCCTTTTTATTTGTTTCACCCATCTTCCCCACCTGCCTCCCCTCTGGCAACCACCAGTTTGTTCTCTGCATTTAAGAGACTGTTTTTTATTTTGTCTCTCTCTCTTTTTAAAATTTGTTTGTTCATTTGTTTTGTTTCTTAAATTCCACATATGAGTGAAATCACATGGTATTTGCTTTTCTCTGACTTATTTCACTTAGCATTATACCCTCTAGTCCATCCGTGTTGTTGCAAGTGCATTCTTTTTATGGCTGAGTAATATTCCACCACTTCTTTAGCCATTCATCAGTCAATGGACACTTGGGCTGCTTTCATATCTTGTCTATTGTAAGAAATACTGCAATAAACATATGGGTGCATATATCTCTTCAAATTAGTGTTTCCATATTCTTTGGGTAAATACCCAGTAGTAGAATTACTGGATCACATGGTAATTATTTTTTAAATTTTTTGAGGAACCTCCACACTGTTTCCCACAGTGGCTGACCTTGTATTTTTGAACATGTACAATATAGTTATAACTGTTTTAATAGTCCTCTTCTTAAATTCTATCTTCTATATAAGTTCTGAATCAGTTTCAATTGATTGATTTTCTCACTTAGAGGTTCTAGTTCTCTGCTTCTTTACACACCTGCTACTTTTAAAATTACATCGTACATATTTACACTAAAAAATGACTCCTTATTTATCTGAAATTTAAGTTTAACTAGGAATCCTGTATTTCTCTGGCAACCCTAGATCCCCGTGGCCTCTCCAGACTCTTCTCTTTGTCTCCTTGATTTGCAGAATCCTCTAGACACTGTCTGAGTTCTCACTCACTGTGCTACAGCCTGACTCTGTCACAGCAGTAAGCTGGTGCCACTGTAGGACTCATCTTTTTTGTTCCCTGTCTCTCAGGGATTGTTGTCCTTTGTTGTCTGATATTCATTGTATTGAAACTCAGTCTTTTGTATACTTTGTTCATTTTTTTGGTTGTTTCACCCAGGAGAGTAAGTCTGGTTCCTGCTACTCTGTCTTGGCTAGAGGTGGAAATCCTTCTCAGAGGCTATTATTTTTAGCCAGAGGCCAAAACATGGTACTGATGGGGGCCAAAGCTTGGTATTTAGTCCCTTCATAGGAGAGTTTGTTGGCTTTGTGCCATAATTTTGTGCAATCAGCTACCTAGAAAAAAGAATGTTTTGGGTCACAGGTGGTACCTGGTGACTGTGAGGATGATTCAGCACAGTTGGGAAACTGATTAGAAGTGCACATTTGCTAATAGGGGAATGGGGATGGGCCATGGGCTTATTACCAAATAAAAGGATAAATCAGCACACTGCATTACATTACATTACTTAGTAGATTTTGGACCAAAAGATAGGTGTGGCTGAAGGTCAGTGCTCAAGGGATCGGATGCTAGTAAGTTTGGAGGCAGGACCAGGGAGAAAAGGCTGAGTCAGGGTGATCAAACTGGGGTCATAGAAAGACTTTGGAAAATTTAAGTCCTCTGTTCCCTGTCCAATAATCAATTATGTTATTCCTACAAGGGGCAGGGAATCTTTGGAAATAAAAAGAAAAGTATTTCCTCTCTATTTTTCTTCGGTTTCTCTTGGTCCAGCCATATGCCGCTATCCTCTGGGAATGTCAGGAGGCCACATTCCAGATGAGGACATCACAGCTTCCAGTCAGTGGTCAGAATCCACAGCTGCCAAATATGGAAGGTGAGGATGGATACCCCAAGAAAGCCTGAGTCCTGGGTTGGATCCATTTTCTGACTCAAGGGACTGGGGAAGAAGGGTGGTATTTGGTGGGAGCTGTAGGCGTGAGGGAAGGACATCAAGTGCACCTGTCCTGTATGTTTTCAGGAAGAGAATTCAGGGCTTGGCACCATGTGCTGGTCTGGCAACCCCATCCTAGTCACAGGGCCTTGCGCGGCACTGCCCACAACAAATGGGTTCATTGATATGCAATGGGTTTGCTTTACTCACCTTCTCACTATGAGCAACTGCAGGAAGCTGGCGACAGTGGTAGGTAGGGAGGTGTAGATGAGGTAGGACACTGGGAGCTAGGAGACCCGGTCCTCTTCTTAGTGGGTGTCTGTGAAACATCGCTCACAGTGCAAAGCATCAAGGCTTTAAGCATACACTGAGGCCTCCAAAAAATTCTTCCCTTCTCTCAATGATACCTCATAGAAGGGTCATCTTCATCCATAAAGAGTATGGTGGGTTCCTAGTGGCCTAATAGCAGGGGTCCTCTAAAGCAGTGAACCCCCGTGTCAGAAACTACTCTGCTTATGAGGGCATAATCCTCCTCCTCCTGGAATCTAATTCTTTTGGTGTAAAGTGTTGATTTCTGTTAAGATGGAACACCCATAAGAAAAGCAGCCTTAGTAAACCTTCCCCATAATTTCTTAGTATGTGAAAGGTGAGAGTGATGGTTGGTGGGGTTGGACGAGAACAGCAATGAGTAGGTGACATCTGTGAGAAAAGGCACATTCTAGGGAAGAGGGAAAGTGGTAAGAGGCTCCCAAAATAAGCCTTATACTGATTTCACAATTTTGGTCACTGGTAGCTCAGCTTGGAGATAATAAAATGAAACCAGATTATTTATTACTCCCCTGATACACTCCTACTCCTCACTCTCATAATGGGTTCCCATGGCTTTTTGCTGGGCTACCATGCCCATCCTGTTGGTTAAAATTCCACTGCATTACATAGCCCACACTGGGGATCTTATGATCCCTCTTTCCTCCTTCCTATAACTTCATATCCAAGCAAGAGGTGGCCACCCTTGTTATGCTGGGACAGAAAGTGGAAGGGGGTGGTAAAATGAATATAGGGTATATTGGGTTTCACTTCTCTTGAGGTCTTTAAATCAGGATGAGAAATAAAGACTACATCTGATCTGAAGGCCTCTAGGCCCTGGTGGTAAGTGTCTTTCTGTGTTTCATAGTGCCCCGGAGACAGGGGACTGACCACAGGTGGTGGCAGTCAGGCCTGAGGGGAGACCTGAAGAGTCTTTTCAGAGTGGGGTCCCAGCCTGCTCTCTCCCCTCAGGATGGGGCAGCTTCTTGCTGTGGATTGGTAAACAACTCTAGTGTCATGGTTCCTCTCTGTCTCTCCAACCCCATGTCTCAAGGCTGGATTCAGAAGAAGGAGATGGAGCCTGGTGCCCTGAGGTTCCAGTGGAACCCGATGACCTGAAGGAGTTCCTACAGATTGACTTGCACACCCTGCACTTTATCACTCTGGTGGGGACCCAAGGGCGCCATGCTGGGGGCCATGGCATTGAGTTTGCCCCCATGTACAAGATCAATTACAGTCGGGATGGCACTCGTTGGATCTCTTGGCGGAATCGGCATGGGAAACAGGTAGGAAGAAGAGACATCCAGACCCTGAGATGTCCAGGACCATATTTTGACTTAGACTAGAAGAGGAAGTACACAGGCTGTCTTGTAGGTATGTGCATGCCCTTGTCAATGTGTGGCCGAAGATGAGGGAGGGTGGGGTGAGGGGACCGGGAGGAATAGCAAAGCTGCTGAGAAAGCTGAAAGGATACATTCTGCTCCTTCAATTCAAAAGAGAGGGTCCATGAAAGGGGTGATGAGGAAAAGTCAGCATAACCTCATAGCATCTTCCCGCTCTTTCTCTTCTCTCTCCTCAGGTGCTGGATGGGAATAGTAACCCCTATGACATTTTCCTAAAGGACTTGGAACCACCCATCGTGGCCAGATTTGTCCGCTTCATTCCAGTCACTGACCACTCCATGAATGTGTGCATGCGGGTGGAGCTTTATGGCTGTGTCTGGCTAGGTAGGTCTCCAGAGAGAAAGCTTATAGACCTTATTAAAACCCCAACCCCTGGAAAATAAAGGCAGACAAGTCAGAAAGGTATGGGATTAGTAATCTCTGGAGTGAAGTGATTCCCTCTAGGTTAGAGTCAAGAAAGGACATTGTTCCTCCACCAAGGCCTGGTGCTCTATACACTAAATGATGCATTCTGAGTCATTTCACTGACTGCCACTGAAGAGTGCTCCTCGGTGGTGCTCCCTTTGTGCCCAGATTTAGTCCTTTGCAGACACGCTGAACAAGATTGCACCCTTGAAGTCTCATGTGGCTCCCTGGGATAGTTGGTCTGAGCAGTAGTTGCCTCTCCTTCCTAAGGCACTGATATATCTGTGTTTCCTTTGGCAGATGGGTTGGTGTCTTACAATGCTCCAGCTGGACAGCAGTTTGTACTCCCTGGAGGCTCCATCATTTACTTGAATGATTCCGTCTATGATGGAGCTGTTGGGTACAGGTAAATTCTGGGAAACTTTGGTCATCAGAATGGGAAAGTGGCCACTAGAAGACAATATTTTAGTATGGCTTGGGATTAATAATTAATCAACCAGTCAACCAACTGGTGTTTATTTAGACCCTGTATTAGGCATTGTGAAATAATGTAGATGAAATAAAATAGGGATTCTTTATTTGCGAGGAACTTAGATTCTAGTTTGGGAAGACAGGAGAAACAATAAATTACACAAAACAAGAGCTGAAATTGTGGTATAGTTCTAAGTATGATAGCCATACTTTTTTTGACCCTTAAAACAGGAAATATGCTCTAACATAAATAATGGCCTACTTATGGATACAAAGGCCTGGGAGAATTGAAGTTATAAATATACTAAATTGGACAGGTCAAGAAGTTCAGGAAGAATGAACCCCATAAATGTAAATGCTTTGGCAGTTGTGAAAAGGAGACTCATAAGGTTTATGATAAACAGGGAGAATTTCTAGGATGATATGATTTAGAGCAGAGGAGGCAGGTAGAAGGGAGCAGAGGAAAGGGAACAGGGCTGAGGACAGGAATGGTCTGACTATAGCAGAACCTCGAGCTGGGAGCAGCAGAAAGGGCCAGTGGGTAGTCCTGAAATGGACCATGGTGGAGAAACTGATCAGACACGGTAGGAATTTAGGGTTGGATGAGAGTTGTTCCTACCTATCTCACTTCACACTGAGCCTTGCCATTCTTCTAGTCCACTTTGACACTCTTCTCTCTCTTAGCTTGGTCTTTGTCTGCAAAGATTGAGCCTGGGTGAGAGGTTAGGTTCAAACTAGATGATGGAGGTTTCTAGTGGTTGACAGAGGATGAAATTAGTCTCAGGAAGAGGAGTGAGGGATTACAGCACTTCCATTGTTTTAAGTGTAAAGAATAAACTCCTCCCCCCCCCGCCCCCCAGCTGCCATCCCCTGAGTGAAGACCTGACTCATCCAGTAGTCGATTTCCAGCTACTTCCTTTCCATCTGCTTAGTCACTGTTGCTCCCTGTTCACTTAAACTGTTCTGGGCATCATTTCACTCAGCCACTCCCCAGCTGGCATTTATTCAAGGCTTAGAGAAAATCAGAGATCAGTTGAATTCATTTTAGGTTAATAAATCTTTGCTAATCCACTGTTGCTACCTACAGTGAATTTGGCCAGACTTGGTAGGTATTCAAAAATATAAGGAAGTCCTGGATCCTACCTTTAAGAAGTTCACAGTTAGGAATGGGTACTAAACCAGAATATAAATTACTGTGATACAAGCATAGGGGTAAGAGATATCTTATGAGTGCTCTGGGGTTCAAAGGAAAGAGTAAGCTAGGGTAGGAAAGCACAGCACTGGGAGTGAAAACACCTGGATTCATGTCATCAAAGTTACTTCCGTTTGTTTAAGTGATAAAAATGTGTAAGAAAAGCATTTTGTAAAGGTAAAGTGATAAATACATGTAAGTTTTTATCTGATTTGGAAAATCAGAAAAGACATGGAATGGATGAAATCTGAAGTGGGCCCCAAACGATGGGTGGAACTTTCACAGGTCAAGAATCTTGCAATGGCATTTGAGGCAGAGTGAAGAGCATAATGACAAAAGAATCACACTGTAAAGTTAAGGGGAATGACTGCTAAAGATCAGTCATTTTGTTAACCACCAGTCATACTTATGTAGCAAAATAGTAGATGAGAAGCATGATTGGAAAGATGATGTCATATTTTGGAGGAACTTGAATGTCAGGGCCAGGAGGAAGAGTTGTTTTTTCTTCAACAGCATAATCGTCAACAGAACAAGTCATTGAAGATTTTTAAAGCTGGGGAAGGACAAGATTGGAACTGTGCTTTAGACAGATTAATCAAGCAGCTCACAAAGGTTAGATGTGAGTGATAAGAAGAGGTGATGAGGGACATTTTCTAATTGCAAACTCTGTCTGATGAAAAGAATGAAGGACCAAGGCCAAAACGGGAGGAGGAGACATTCACGTAGGGACCATTTGCAATCTGATTGGGTGTAAATGAGGAAAAGAGGTAGATGAAACCTTGGGGATGGCATTTATTCATCAACAGTCATATTTTGGTACATATGGTGTGCCAGGCACTTTCAATGAGCCACTGAACATGAAAGAGAATACAATGGGCAGGAATGGGAAACTTAGGTGAAAGATTTAGTTTAGAAAGAGATAGTGATGGATTTAGTTTGGGATATAAATTTAAGGGACTGGCAGGATATTCAAATGGATAAATAAGGCAGGTACTGGTAACAGAGGAAAGGTCAAGAATAATTGCAGGGATTTCGACACAATCACCTTCCACTTGATAACTGAGGTAGTGGGGTTATCTCTTTGGAGTGTGCCTGAATGATGAGGTATAAGTACCTGATTCAGAGTCTTGGGAATAGATAGTTTTAATAGCAAAAGTTATTTTTTTAACTAAAAAAATTACAGAAGTAGTACATGCTTGTTGTAGTAATTCTAACAATTCTAAAGGATATGAAGTAAACCAGGGGAAGTTTCTGTCCTTACCCATCCCCATTTGATTTAATTTTGACTAAAAGAAATTAACTTTTCATTTGTGTTGCTTTTCATAAGTTTCACGGGGATTTATTGTTCTGGGGACAATGGGAAATATATTTATTGCAAGTAAACTTATGTTCTCCTAGCCTTCTGATCTGTAGAGAGAAGAAAAAGATGGCAAATCCTTGGAAGGGAGATCCAGGCTCTGGTCACTGTGGATAAGGCCAGTCAAATTTTATAATTTGCCAAACATTTTTCAATGAACAAATAAATTTAAAAGTGTATCTGTAAGGCTGGCATAATCACTCAATTATTTTTTTTTTGTGAATTCATAACTTTTACATTACCTCAAGGGGCACATGTATTATTGCTCGAGGGTGAGTATCCCAATCTCTTCATTTGGGAGACTCCTGACTTAGAGTTTGGTGCTTGAAATGCAGAGCTTGGGAAGAGAGAAATCCTAGTGGAGAGTTCTTGCTCTGTGTCTCCATAAAAAGAAGCCAAATAGAATAGAAATCCAAAAAGAAATAGCCAAATTAACATAAATACACAATCATCCCATATACCAATCAAGAAGAGCCTTACAATCAGAAGTGGAAAGCCTGCCAAGCTAGAAAACAAGACTAAATCCAATGCCTGAGACCCTCATGTAATTCATGCATTTTATTCCATGAATCTAGTATTCTCCAAATTTAATTAAAATTACATATAAATTAGTATTTAAATTTGGCACTGATTACTTTTCTTCCCCCCTTTAGTTTGACATCAAATTGAGTTGTTGGATGTGGGGTAGAAGAAGGCATGACTGGCTTCTCTGGAATTGATTCACTGAAAAATGATAACATACAGTCAAAGGAGAATCAGAAAAATTTCCAACAAGCTCTGGGACTATTTATTGAGTGATGGTCAAGTGCTATACCTACTATAGTGTTCATTCTATGCATCCATCCATCCCTTCATTCATTTACTCATTAATGGATTAATTAAATCAAATAATTAATCAAATTATATAAAAACATACTATATTCAGTATACAAGAATAGGTAAGGATACAATAGATTATAGAAAGCTTTTCTTATAAAATGATAAATTTTGTTTAAAAGCTTTGCTACTAAAGGAGTAAGCATTGAGTATTTTGTAAAATTCATTTATATGAAATTCTTTGTTCTCCATTGATGCCAGGGTAAATGCATCAATACTATAAAATATACTGGATTTTTCATAATCCTTCAACCTTCAAGATAATCAACTCTTACAAAACCTGGGGTAAAGAAGCTGGGAATAAAAGCTCTTCTGTGAATGTGTGATTAATTCCAGGTTCCTCTCTCCCTTTCCCTTCTCTTCCCCTGGCCTGAGCAGCATGACTGAAGGATTGGGCCAGCTGACAGATGGGGTGTCTGGCCTGGACGACTTCACTCAGACCCACGAATACCATGTGTGGCCGGGCTATGACTACGTGGGCTGGAGGAATGAAAGTGCCCCCAGTGGTTACATCGAGATCATGTTTGAATTTGACCGCATCAGGAATTTCACGACCATGAAGGTCAGTGGTGTTAGGTGTGGTGGAACATGTCCAAGGAAGCCAAGATAATGGTGTAGTGAAAAGGCATGCTAGAAAGAACCTTGGGTGGTGTCAGCGGAACTGGATTCAAATCGGTATTTTGCCACTAACAAGCTACATGCATTTCCAAATCACTTCATCTCTGGGCTTCTTGCTTCATTTGTAAATAAGGGGGTTAGACTAGGTCACTGTTTCTCAATGTTTTCTGTTACTGTTCCAACATCAGAGTCTACATACCATTAGGCACAGTGGGTCCGGTGTCTAGAGCCCACAATACTTTGAAGACCTAACTTCTTTTAACATCAGGGGGAAAAAAGAACTCTTAGAGTCAAACATCATTTTCATCTGTTTAACAACACGGTTTTAAAATACAGTTTTAATTTTTTTTATGGAGGGAGGGGCTCACAAAAGCAAAAGTAAATAGGGCCCATGGAAATCATTTTATGGCCCTGCCCAGTGCTCCCCAGGGACATCCTTTTATCAGTAAGCCTGGCTCATTGCCACTCTAATTCTCAATGGAAGAATGGAGAAATTCTTTGGAAATTGGAAAATCGAGAATTTGTATTTTTTCTTTGGAATCACTTTTCATACCTACCCTGTTTCTTCCTCCCCTGGGCACTGAGAAATCGTGATAGAAGGCTCTGCACTCTTCTGTTTCCAGAGTTCTTTGTTTCCTTATCTATTGCAACAGCACATCTGTCTGGTTGTCCTACTAGATTTCAGGTTCCTCCAACTTGAACTCTAAAGCTTGAGGAAAACTGGGGCTTAACAGTAGAAAGTCCTTTGTTGAATGTAAAGGAGACGCCCGAAGTTTTTGTGGTTCATGTATAACTCTTACTGGTTTATTGAGGAGCATGAGAGGACTCCAATATGAGGCCCAAGAGAGTGGGCAGGTGAATTTGCCCTCACACATGGATCCCTGTTTATCTGTTATTTTCCCTATTCATAGATGGGTACAGAATATTAATGGCCCACAAATTGGTGACGCTGCCTCTATCTAAATCCCCTTGGGATGATTTGCAGTTCAGTGGAAGAAGGCACTATTTATTTGCAAAAGGAGGTATGTAGGATGAGATGAGGACCCAGAAGAATGAAATCTGTGTTATCATTAAGGGTCCCTAGTAAATCAAAATTTGTTAGTCTCGGCACAAACTTGGAGCCAAAGAGGAAATCCATGTCTATTATATTACCCTCACATGTTAATGTGATAATATCGCCTAACTGGATTAATAGCTATTAGTTAAATGAACAAACATTTAGGATGAGAACAGAAGGATCAACACATGCCCATCTGCCTGTATATTGTTCAAGGATGGCTCCTTGGCAGGTTGTAAAACGTAAGTGTGTGCAGTTGTGTGTGACACATTCTTCTTCACAGGGTTTTCTGGAGGGAGGAGGGGAATATGCATAGTGACAAAAATACACCTCCAAGGAAAATTTATTTCTATTGCTGAATAGTAAGATATCCATATGAACCTATGAACAAGTATCTCAATTCACAAAAATATACCATTGGGATAATTTTTAGTCCCATAAATAATAAAATGTATTTTAAGCTCTCCACAAAGTTGTAATATTTAGTCAATAGACTTTGATCTTCCTGAGTCCCCCATAGCTCCTGTTTAATTAGTTTATCACAGGTCAGAATTATTCAAAAGCATATAGTGCAGTAAGTAGGTGCCAGAAGCTTCTAAGAGCTATCTTAGGATCAGTCCTCTCGAGGCCAAACAAGTCTCTAGCATATTTTGATTTTTCTGAGACAAAAAAAATAAAAGATGACTTTCAGGTCCCTAACATCTTCTAGAAAGTAGTTATTGGTTTCTAGGCAAATTACTATCATTCCCCCACCCCTTAAATACAGTCAAAATATTCTATTGAAATATATTAATGTCCTTTTAAAATGTATTGTATTTATTAAATAAATATGTAAATCCACAGGGGAATGAAATTCTATACTATTTATTTGCATTCCAGGAGAATTCCCAAAACATCTGTAGGAGAGATTACTAGCTCCCCCACAGGCTACTTATCCAACACTTTGCAGATTGCAAAAAAATCTGAAAAATCTATTGAAGCTGTAGATGGTATTTTTTGGATTTTTTTTTCTTAGCCTTGCTCCATTGACTTGTGCTCAATAAACTGAAACGGTTAATTCATCCCAAGGAAGATACTAATAGATGTTTTCATCATAAGAACTATTTACAGGAAAATCCAAATGGAGAAGTTAAGGCAGCTTGCTCCATTTCTGTGTGGCGTGGTACTGGCAAAAGCACTGGACTAGGAGTCTAGGGTTCTAGACTCCATTCTATTGTTGACGGGCCATAGGCAGGTCACACCTACCTGAGCACTAGCTCATTAAGAAATAGAGAGTCAGAGTAGGTGATTTTATTCTATTCTTTCAGAATATCTCTGCTCATTTCTTCGATCACAACATTTCTACAATCATTGCTGCTGTTTCTTCAGCTAAACGTAAATTCTCAACGGTAGTCCTGTAGTTGCCATCCAAAAAGCAGAGGAGGGTATCAACGACAGTCGGAGGGTTACAATGCAGGGCCGAAGCAAGACATTAAAATTCAAATAGCAAATATGTTCCCAGAATGGCAATGAGGCTTTTCCAACCTATGAGGTTTTAATTCAGGGGCTAGTGACCAGTGAAGCTCCATTTTCCACGTACGACTGAGCCAGAGGAAATGTGAGTGAACTACCACCAGGGACCTGACCTAGTTACAAATATGTACATTCCACTTTTGAAGGATGTTGAACACACCAAGGTGCTCCAGATGACTGTTGTGGGATCTTTGTTTCTTATGACCCTTTTAAAAGCCATACAAATGTCCTGGTGAAAGAGTCAGGCCGCAGGCAAGAGGATGCAAGCTACTTTTGGAAAGACCTTCTTTTCTCATCTCAGAAAATATCCCTAAGGAAGATTCCATGCCCTCATCAGAAGGGCTTGACCTAAACTGAACTTCATTAAGACAGATCATTAAGTCTTGTGTCTCTGGCTAAAACATGCTAATACACGGCCCCTGAAATGAGATTTCTAAAGAGAAAGATGAAATTGTTTTGGAATGTGTGTGAGTTCAGGTTTCTCAACTAAACCTGTTGGAAGGAGTGGACTGGCTTTAGCGCGTACCTGGGAGGAACGAGGAGGGAGGGTGTCCCCTTACCTCAGTCCAGAATAGCTTGCTTCTGGGTGGACAGACAGTGTGTTGGGGAGGGTTAGAGATGTGGGGGTGTTAAGGGCAAGGAAGGCCCCCGAGAGGATGCTGGTCCAGCCCTCACTTAACTGATGAGGCGACAGGAAATGAGGTGGCCGGGGGCACACAGTTGCAGAGAGGGGACTGGGGGAACTGCCCTGGTTTTAGAGGGTCAGACCAGTGTATCACGGCCGCTGTGAAGAGGATGGAAAGGCAAGTCCACGAGACTGCAGAGCAACTATTCACCAAGTGTGGGGCTCCGAGAAATGGGCAGATGGGAGATTTTACCAGGTTAGGTTGCCCTGTGTCCCCGTGCCACTTATGGGTGTCAGCCTGTCCCTCACATGCCTCCTTCTCTGCCAGGTCCACTGCAACAACATGTTTGCCAAAGGTGTGAAGATTTTTAAGGAGGTGCAGTGCTACTTCCGCTCGGAGGCCAACGAGTGGGAACCGAACTCCGTGTCCTTCCCCCTCGTCCTGGACGACGTCAACCCCAGTGCTCGGTTCGTCACGGTGCCCCTCCACCACCGCATGGCCAGCGCCATCAAGTGCCAATACCACTTTGCTGATACCTGGATGATGTTCAGTGAGATCACCTTCCAATCAGGTTGGGAGCCAGGGGGCCTCCTGCGGAAGTGGGAGCAGGGTGGTGGGGAGGCAGGTGCGTGCTGGAGCTGCTCATTGACGGTATCTGAGGAAGAGGGTTGCACAGTGGTTTCTCATCGGTGGATAGAGGAATCTTTGCACGACTAGACTATTTACTGGGCTCTCACATATTTGTTTAAAAGGCATGTAAAATAAAGGATTAAAACATGAGAGCACAATGAGTTAAATTGGTATAAATTAAGCCGGTTAAGGGGAAGCACACTATTAAAGTATTTAAATGAAAATTTCTAAATATATACAAAAGTAGAGAACAATGAACCCTCGTCAGTCTTTCAGCCTTACTAACCACTGATGATGTGCCAATCTTGTTTTATCTATTTCTCCCTTGTCACTGTAGTATTTTAAGCAAATTTGAGACATTATTTGATGTCATTACTAAAAATTTGAGAATACATCTAAGAAAATAACATCTTCTTTATAAGCATGAAGCATTATAACATCTAACACCATTTGTTAATAAGTAATTCCTTAATATTATCTAATAGGCTGTCCACATTCAAGTATCCCTCATTGTCTAATATTGTCCATACAGTTGGCTTGATCAAATTCGGATCCAAATAAGGCCCTCTTGGGGGATTTCCTTTATTATATTCCTAAGTGTCTTTTTTAATATAAAATAGTCCTTTTAAAAAAAATCCGTTCTGGTTTGGCTGATTGCTTTTTGTGATGTCATTTTCTCAAGCTTGTATCTTTTATCATTCCTGTAGACTGGCAGTTATATCTACAGGCTACTTTGATTCAAGTTCAATATTTATTTTTGTCAAGAATTTTCATAGATAACGCTGTGTCCTTTTTTTTTTCTTTGAAAACAAGTGACATTAATTTTAATATACTTAATTTAGCTGTGTCCTTTGAACCTCATCATAGATAACGCTGTTGAACCTCATCGTGGGGATGTAGTGTTAGATTCTTTCACCTTTAGTGATGCTAAGATTGATTTCTGGGCTCAGGTTATCCCCACAAACTGGTGACCACTGCTTGAATTACTTATTTCATTAGGGATTGCTAAATGGTGATTTTCTAATTCTTGCATTCCTTCTGCATTTATCAGCTGAATTTCTTCTGACTACATGCACTTACTTACTCTGAGATACAGTTCACATTGGAAGGGCAGGATACATGATTAATTTTTTTCCCTTCATCAGTTTTCAGAATTGATGCCCCAAGAAATTTCAGTAATGTCTAATGAGTTTTGTTTTTGTTTTTCATACTTGTTTTGCTTTTTAGTATCATTATGGACTCATTGCTTTTTTTAAATAAATTCAATATGTTTAATCAATTGCAATTATTAATTCTTTCTGATGCTCACATTGTCTTGCGTTTGACCAGAGCACACACCTTTAAGCTGGCTCTGTGTTCTTTGGATCTGACCCTATAAGCCTTTGATAAATGTCTTATTTTCTGGAAGAACAAAATCACCCAAGTTCTTTTTGAACGTTTTGTTCCAGATATGAGACCAACCATTTCCTTAAGCAGTTGTGGTTCCTTTTAGTGGAGAATGGTATTTAGAGACCACAAACTGGACAGTAGGGACTGTGCTGGGTCCTGAAAAGTTAAAAGGCTTTTAGGACATTGTCTGTATCACCACAATGTAGATGGGGTACAAAACCCACACAGTGATTTTTCAAAAGATGCTCAAAGTGATACCAACAATAAGTGATCAAGAAAGAGGTCAGTAGAGAGTGGCTTTTTAACAGTGTCAAAAGAGTGATCCTTGCACTGGACCTGGTCAAAAAGTATAGGTGAAAAATAAGGGAAGATAGGAGGAGAGACTACTGTAAAGATAAAGCAAAGACCCCATGCTTCCTGATTTAACTTTTATTTTTAAAAATTTTTATTTATTTATTTTAAGATTTTATTTATGAGTGAGAGAGAGATGAACAGAGGGAAGGGGACAAGCAGACTCCATGCTGAGCATGGAGCCCAACATGGGGCTTGATCCCTGACCCTGAGATCATGACCTGAGCCGAAATCAAGAGTCAGATGGTTACCTGACTGAGCCACCCAGGCTCCCCTGATTTAATTTTTAAAAGAAGAAAATTTCAAGATGTTTTGCTCACTAAGATGTACTGATAAGGAAATAGAACATCTGTTTAGAAAAACAGGTTTGGTGCCTCACTGCCTTCTGTTATAAAGATTTTATTTAAGAATAAATGGATTGATTATTTTATATGAACTATTTATTAAGAGTAGAGATTATTTAGATGTTCAAAAACAGTGTCATTACATTGTGTTAACTGGAAGACCACAGATTCCCATCCATCCTCAGGGATTCTATTTTCTTGGCAGAGTAATTAGTATACTTACCCTGTTATAACCAATTGCAGCTAAGGACTACAGTTTTTGACTCCTGGGAATCTCTTGAGTTTTAAATCTGATATCATGATAATATTCATTTCCACTGGAGCCTGAGGACCCAGCGCAGAAAAGTACATGTAGATGCTAGATACCTCCCAATTTGCGTAATATTGCTAAGAAGAAGAAAAATTAGGATTTATGGAGAGTATGCTTCTAGAAGGGAAATGCATATTCTAATTCTTGACCTCCTTGGTTAGACAAATCAAAGGGGAGAATGAGTTGCCAACGTCAATCTAGCAAATATGCTTTTGGGGTCTAGTTTTAGAAGCTTATACATCACAGTAAAGGACACCCCAGTATCAATAATCTACCTATAAGGGTGAAGGCTTGATTTATAAATTAAAGGGCTAGGTCAATGAGCATAGTGAAAACAACTTAATTTCCTTGAAGGAAAGAGCCTTTTAGCACTATGTCTGTCCCATGCCTGCTTACCTATCATGTTCTCTCTACATTTTACTGAATTTGAGTCTGACTTCCTGTGCATGCTTTATGATAATGCATGGTCACAGCCCACTGAGCCACTGTTTCTTAAACTTTTTTTGTGCCATGACACCTAGTATCATTTAAACAAACATTTTACAAAAGAAGAGTTGCCCTTAACTGTCTAGATGAACGGTGATTTTTAAAATTTAGAATATTATATGACTTTATTTTTAAGAAGGGCTGATGGCAACCCACTAAATTGATTTCACAATGTGCTAGGTCACAATCTACCTCCAGAAAAACCACTACTTAGCCTGTCTTCTCCCCGGCTCTGACTCACACTTGTTTTGTAACAGATGCTGCAATGTACAACAACTCTGGGGCCCTGCCCACCTCACCTGTGGTGCCCACAACCTATGGTATGTGTGATTTCTAGTTATAAAAGTTAAAGTTGAAGAGGCCTTCTAGAGGATGAAGAAGGGTGGAAATTTGCAAGGGCCTGACTGTCTGTGTAGGAGGCTTTATACCAGCTGGCTTTGGATGAAGGGGTTTCTGGAAAGGTAGGCTCCAAAGTAAAGGGCCCAAATTCACTCTCCTCACTGCTGGTTCATGTGACTCTTCAGCTAAAGCAGAGTCTGGAGTTGTTCCAATTGCTTCATGGAAGTTTGGGTAGCTTGGAACAGAAACAAGGAAAGGGACATTTCTAGGTAAGACCCATAGTGGGGATCTCAATGAATGGATGGAAGTCCATTAAACAAAATGGTGGTCTCTCTAATTGGAGATATATGCTAAAGTGTATCCAGGGCTTCAGATGGTCACTGGCCATATGAGTCAGCAATCTGGGAAACACATATGATCAAGTGTCTCCAAAGGGACTCTTCACCTATTTTTCATGAGGTGTGATTATGAGCCAGTAGATCTAAGCTGTGGTAATAAAGGAACAAAATTTGGGGACCAAAGGAAAACCTCTCCATTATCCTGTCTGATTCATGTGGAGGAGGAGGCTATGGTCCCAAGGAGGAGGTGTGTATGATGGAGGAGCAAAGTCATACCAGAGTAGCAAGACCAAAAGTAAGCAGAAGTGTTAAGGTGGCATCTTGCAGAATTATCCTGAAGGAAAAGGTTCTACCTTTCTGTCTCTGACCCAGTACCTCATGCTTTTCCTTGCCCCGTGAGATGATGGTGTTCTCCATCTTTCTCTTCCTGGTTGTAGATCCAATGCTTAAAGTCGATGACAGCAATACCCGGATCCTGATTGGCTGCTTGGTGGCCATCATCTTCATCCTCCTGGCCATCATTGTCATCATCCTCTGGAGACAGTTCTGGCAGAAAATGCTGGAGAAGGTGAGGAAGTGCAGAGCAGTCATGGGATAGGAACCTGCTCCATTTGCCTTGCCTAAGCCATTGGTACCCCAGGAGAAAAGGCAAACTATAAGAACTTATAAATGCTTAGAGTGTTAACTGAGGCTACTGAGAAGCCTGGGAGTGGTGAACTTGGTGCTGAAGGAGTCAGAAAAGAATAAGCTAAGTCAATTTTCTCATGTTCGGAGTGGGGATTTTGGAACCTCGCTAGAAAACCCAGAAAACTCTTCCTAATACATTGAATCTCAACTCAAGCATCTCCCTTGAAGGTTTTGATCCACTGGGTTTAGAGGGGAGTGCAGGCATCTGTAGTTTTTAAAAAAATTAACAGATGCACAACTGCTACCTGGCTAAAATTTCTGATAATGCTATTCCTTTTCTTCTGTTATTTACACACGTGCATGTGTGGTGCAGAAAAACATTCAGCCTCATTAATATCCAAGCCAAGTTTTTCATAGTCCTATTTCTACTTCTTTATGTACTTGAAAGTTATGCTTATGCCTCCTTCTGGGTCCCTCCTCAGATTTGCTTTGTCCAATCTAGCTTATTTGAATAAGTTTTTTTACACATCTGTTTAACATTTGACAATCTGCGAGGCCTTTTTTCATGTGTATTATTTTACTTGAACCTCATTGAATAACAGTGAGCTGGGCCTAGTAGTTATATTTAACTCTTTTTATGTTGAGAAAATGTGATTTGCTCAAGATTGTACAACTGATATCCTATTTTCTGTGCTCATTCCAATTGTCAGTCTTGAAATTTGTCAACTTCCAAATATATATATTCCAGCAAAGATGGAATATCTATGACTTTTCCTGGTTTCTTAGTCTAGATAGCAACTCTCTGGGCACCTCTGCTAAGTATCTGATGCTCTTGGGGTCTGCTGATGATTAAGTGTTTCTATAGTTGGCCATGGACATCTTCACTGATCAGTGAGTTCAAATGGATGTGGACCAAGAGGTTATAGACGCTCTGAGCTGTGAGGCAATTCAAAAACTTTCTTCTAGAATGCTGGAACACACTGGGTGTCTAAATTCAGGGTGAGGGGCAACAAAGAGTGCTGGTGGTAGTAGAAGCTGGTGGACCGCAGGTTCATGGGACGGCTTGAAGCCGAAGTGTGTCTTATTGAGTATTTTGTTATGACTGCGTTTTAACTGGGAAGAGGGAATCTGTGTTCTATACTCTATGAACTATTTTTCTCTTTATTGGAGCCAGAATTTGCCACACTTCTCTCTGTCTTTCTTGGGAGTCTAATTGGAATATGTCCATGGACTGGAAGAGGAGTGTTGGATTGGAGACCCTTCAAGTAAAAGGGAGAGCAACAATTTTGCCCTGAAATACTTAACTTGGTCCTTCAAGAAATTCTTTCTACCCTGTATATCCTAGTAAGACAACTCCAGATGCTCTGGAATGACACAGGACTTTTTCCTGGTGACAGATTTGTGTGTATGTTTTGTGTCTGTGTGTGTGTATAAAACACTTAAGCATACACATGTATTCCAAGAAACATTATTCAAAATAGCTTTAGACTAACCATTATTTGTAGGATCCTTTTGGCAGTGTCCTTAACATTTTTTCTTTGAGAGAGTTAACCCATTTTTATTGAGTACCTACTATGTGCTGGGTTCCATGCTCAGTATTGGGGGTGTTACTGCAACAAAGGACTTTTCAGTCCAGGGGACGAAGCAGACATCTAAGTCTCTCCATTGAGCACCCAAAGTGTGTTTGTTGGAGTGGGACATTTTACATGTTCAAATCCAAATAGTCACATATATTCAGATTTTGACATTTTCCTTTGGAAGGAACAGGCAGGTCACATTGGATAGGATGCCAAAACAATTTGTTATTTTATTCTTTTTCTTCTTTTATTAGGTGTAATTCACCTCAGTATCCCCAGGGATTTCCTTTCCCATTTTATAGCCATTTTATTTTTGGTTAGTAAAAATGCAGGATTGAGGGCATAATACCCCAACCTACAGTGCCAGAGTGATCAGGTAGACTACTGACCCATCATGTTACAGCACATTTGTTGAGTGAATGGGCATTTTAATGTGTCTGCACAAAATCAAACCAATTAAGGGATAAGTCTGCAAAAACCCAGTACTTAATAGAACATCGAAAACTCTGCAGGATTGAGATCTTTGATTGGCTACTGATAGGTTCTCATAGTGTCATGTAAATAATGCTTATACATGCTTCAGTGAAAGTTAATGAATGTTGGTAGCACAGAAGTTAGGGGGTCAAGCTCTGCCCTGAAGCAATCAATGAAGGATTATTCTAAGTTTCTACGACCCAGGCATTTGTGGAGCCAGACTGCATCCCTGTCACTTGTGCTTGCAAGTTGAAGAGTAATAGAGAGGTATTTCACCTGAGTGGAAGAGCTGGGTCTCAGAAGAGGAGGAAGCCATGATCCCCTTTGTGCCAACATGTCTTCCCCATCCTTCTCATTCAGGCTTCCCGGAGGATGCTGGATGATGAAATGACAGTCAGCCTTTCCCTGCCCAGTGAGTCCAGCATGTTCAACAACAACCGCTCCTCATCGCCAAGTGAGCAGGAGTCCAATTCCACTTATGATCGCATCTTTCCCCTTCGCCCTGACTACCAGGAGCCATCGAGGCTGATACGAAAACTCCCAGAGTTTGCTCCAGGGGAGGAAGAGTCAGGTGAGGATGACACAGTGGCAGAGAATGAAGGGAGATGTCTTGACAGGCACTGTGAAGGTGTGACACTTGGCTCCTACTCAACCAAATCTGGTTTTCATCGGGAGAAGTCCACATTTCCCTGAGAAGTCCACACTGTCTTTCTAGATTGATCTGCCATGGCTCCTACCCTAATCTGAGTGCCTCTCAGGTGTTTAATCACATAGTAGGTGTTTAAAGGGACCCTCAGGTCAGAAGAGAAAGAAAATAAATAAAGGGTGTCACTAAAGTGTTAACGCCAGAAGAACCTAAGCACTCACTAGTCTGGTCTCCTCATTTTCCGTAGGAAGAAGATGAGGAGGCCCAGATAGGCTACTCACCCACTACCAAACATCATTGGCCGTAAATTCAGGACTAGCATTTCACCTGGAGAAAATAAATTAATGAAGCTAAAGACATCCTGGAATTCCCAGTTTTCTAGCCCTCGAGATAACTGAGTTTATCTAATTTTTGTTTATTTCTCTTTGGCGGAAATTTATTAGAATAATACAAGATCTTTTACTACAGCAAATATTTCTTGCCTTTCTTCAAGAAAAGCATTGCTTTGGTAAAACAGTGCCAATTGATTCACATCCAGTGTTTTTTAAAGAAGTGCTGCAGAGTGACATCAGAAGGGATTCTGGGGTCATCACTGAGGCTCAGAGCAGCTTTTCCAGAAGGTCAGCAACTGAAGAGTGACCAAAGTCAGTAGAAGAACTTGTGTTCAGGAGAGAGCCAGATGGAGAAGTAGACAGGACTGACTGGGAGCGCATAGGCTTTTCAAGGGCTCTTCTCAAAGGAAGAGAGGAAACTCACATGTATTTATCACTCAGTGGATAGCAAACATTGAAGGAGCACATTGAACTCAGGGAATTTTACAGAGATAGCGAGAATAAAGGATGTAAACTAATTTATTTCCTAGGCTGAACTAAAGTAATTTACCTATTTTCTAAAGTCTTAAAATATTTCCCCTCTCATATTTTAATTTTTTTAAGGAAGGATGTGTCTTAAACTAGATCATCGAAAATTATTTAATCCCTAAAATAGGTTATTAAATCAATGATAGTGTCTTAAAATTATAGAAATACGTGATTAAGTCTTCCAACTTCCTGCCCTTATATAACATAAACTGTCCTCTAGCTTCACCCACAATCCCCTAAGATTAGCCAAGGAGGTTGTTAATGATCACGTAGTTTAAGAAGAAGAGAGAAAATGATGTTCCACATTCCGAAGGCCACAAGAAAGGGTCTCTAGAGGAACCCTTCTCTGAGTGAGTATGGCGTGGAGTAGCGTAGGCTGTCTTCAGGGCATGTCCTGGCCTTCCTCTCAGATTTTCTTCCTGGAAGGATCTCCAAAGATGCCCCTTGGAGTCAGACTCATTGCGGGTGTCTTCCCAGGCTGCAGTGGCATTGTGAAGCCGGCCCAGACCAGCGGGCCCGAGGGAGCACCCCACTACGCAGAGGCTGACATTGTGAACCTGCAGGGGGTGACCGGAGGCAACACCTACTCAGTGCCTGCTGTTACCATGGACCTGCTTTCAGGGAAAGATGTGGCTGTGGAAGAATTCCCCAGGAAACTCCTAACGTTCAAGGAGAAGCTGGGAGAAGGCCAGTTCGGGGAGGTGAGTTGAATCTTTTTTTGGGGTCTCCAGTTCTTGGTATCCCAAAGATAGTGGTTGAATAAAAATAGCCAGGAGAGCAGAAAAGTGCCCCTTCCGAAGTGGATTCATACCAGAATGTCTCCTTCACTCATCTCTCCTTGCCTTGCCCTCTAGAGGGCTGGGATTGGGTCGACCTCATTTTTGTGAAAGAGCCCACAAAGCTTCCTGGGTCTTCTGATTTCTGTATAGTTTTTAAAGCCAGCAAGTCACTAGACTTTGGATATCCTGAAAAACATTCAGTATTTTCAAATTTTTTTTTTACAATAGGTTACAGAGGGTGGGGACCCGTAAGATGTGATCATCTTTGATAAACTGTCCAAGAACATCCTGCTACTTGATAGCCACTTTGTTTTCCTCCTTTTCATGGGAGTTATGTGTCAAGTGGTCAAAAACAACCTCGCCCCTGACTTGAGTCCCAGACTCGGCCACGAGGGAATGAACTGCCAACTGAGATGAGGAGGAGCACTCTTCCCAGTCGCCCTCCATGTCACAGTGACTTTGCACTCTTACATCAGTCACGTGAACCCCTTCTGAGAATCCAAAGCCATGATTTAAGTGGCAACAGGAGCCCTTCAATGGTGCCATCTGAACTCCAGATGAGATAGAAGAATGTGTTCTTGGTTTTCAGTGTGGGTGGTATGCTTTGCCCTTGGGTAGGTTTGGTGTTGGTGGAAGAGTTCACGGCATCTGTTTGTGATGTCATATGTACTCATCCTGTCCCCGGGGTTGAAAACACAAGCTCATTATTCTGTACTAATACATAGGGGTTACTTTTAATGCTAACGCCATACTAAGGGATTACCTTAGAGAAGAAATGTTTTGTATGAGCCAGTAACTAAACTTCCTTGAATCAAAATGGGAGCATTTATGCCGAGCGACATTTTATAGTGGACTGTACTGGAGTAAAATGCTATGTTGTAGATTCATTCACAAATTTAGCGTTCCAATCAATGTATGTTTCTTTTATAAAGTAGTAACATGTCATATTAGCTGGGTAATTTACCCCTGTTTGTCTCAGCTATTTGAATTAAAGGTATGTTACATGTATCTTAACAGTCTTTTGATGATTTTCCTTGAGTTGTAAGAGTTAGCTTATCTCCAGGAAATGCCCAGCAAGAGTACTGAGCCATCTTCCAGAGAAACGATGATGCTGAGACTAGATGACTTTTGTCTAGGTTCATCTCTGTGAAGTGGAGGGGATGGAAAAGTTCAAAGACAAAGATTTTGCCCTAGATGTCAGTGCCAACCAGCCTGTCCTGGTGGCCGTGAAAATGCTCCGAGCGGATGCCAACAAGAACGCCAGGTCTGTGGTCTGCATTTTGAATTTTCCTTTATGTATTTCACCTTCAGGATCAGGAATACTTCTGGAAACCCTTGAGCAGTTTTTTTTCTTTTGAGATGGGAAGGTCTGTGAGCTGCCTCACCTTTCACTGTTGTGCTCTCTTTTTCTGATGGGCCTGCAGGCCTCATCTCTCTTCTCTATCTCTGGCAAATGGAGGTGTCCACTTTCCATTGAATTAGCGGGTTGACTTCTGAACTCCCTTTGCACAGAGCCTGAATATGTGCTCCTTCGACCATGATGAACAGACGTACTCCCAAATGTCATTACTGCCTCTTGGCTGACTTCCACGTTCACACACAACTTTCTTGCTAAGTGTCCTCCCTTCTCCTTTATTCCTTTTACTTTCTCATTCCTTTGTTTTCTCTTTTATGCTCCTTTTCTTCTATGTCCAGCAACCCCCAAAATGAGAAGCGACCTCTACTTGGAAAAGTATCCATGGACCTCAAAGCAAAAGGATCCTACAGTCCTTTAGCAGTGTCCCAAACTGGCTCATAGTCTCTTGGATCCTTTACTACATAAATTGCAGTTTCCAGCCATACTCCATTGTCTGACAGCCTTTCCATTACAGTAATGGTGAGTTAATCCTCACCCAGAGAGGCATGCTGGTTGAAAGCTGGTTGTCTGTGTCTCAGAAAAGTCTGCACATCTGGGTAATGTATGTGTTTTCCCATTTGTGCTGACTTGATTTTGTCTCACTGATATTCAAAGTGAGAGAAAGCTTATTAGTCCTCTTCCCCAAATTATTGGAAATGCCAAGAATGGTGGTACAGTTTCATTAAAAGTCTTGCAAAAACTAATGATGTATTGTATGGTGACTAACATAACATAATAAAATAAAATAAAATTTAAAAAATAAATAAATTAATTAAAAAAAAGTCTTGCAGTAGACAGGATGTGGAATGAAGAAGAAAGAAAGGTGAGGGAACAGAACTGGAATTTTAACTGTGAGAACCTCAATCTTAAAGACATTAGTATGCATGAAAAATGACATCCTCTGGGTCCCTTAGAGAGAGGGAATATTCTTAATACTAACCTTAGCACACAATTGGAGAGAGTAGCAAGAAGAAAAAAAACATAAGATATAACAAAGCCTTTGCCCATTGTTTTGGTTGGTGAGGTTTGGTGTCCCTCCACCTGTGCCCACTGCAATTTAGCAGTGAAGGGTGGCCTAGACTCTGGTCTCCACAAACTGTGGAAACCCCTGGTTTTGAGTGGAGGGGGAATGAAAGAGGGGGTGTGTCACATCAGGACTACATTGATTTCAAAGGTTTTGTATTGACACAGTATGACTCCCAATCCAGGGTTCTTAGAAAACTCACAGGAGATTCATAACTCATCTGCTCTGATAGTTTTAAGAATGTGGGCTGGTGGTCTCACTGACCCAAATATTGTTCCTGGGCAGGTGAGAGCACATTTTGAGACTCAGGGGTGGGGTACTCAAACAGTTCCAGTCTTGGTCAAGTGAGTACTGTTTTTGAAATGACTCCACATTACCACCATGAGCTTTAAACAGCTCTGTTTTGAACAGGCTGCTCAGTGTGTGTTATGACTGACTGCTGGTGTGTCCTGTCTACAAACAGCCAGTATGAGAAAAATAAAGACTTACCAGACAAACCAGAGGATCATTATTCACTTTATAAAAAATTTCTTTGCTTTATTAGTAGAGTGAGTCCATGGCTTTTAAAAAGGTAAATACCCCAGTACCCTTAAGATATGATTTCCAGGGAAAGATTTCATTTTGCAGACTAGTTTTTAGCAGCATATATTTGATTGAGGAAATGGTAATCACTTTCTTTGTGGTGAGCCTTTTGTTGGATTCTAGGGATGCAAATGTGAGCAGGTCATGGTTCATGTTCTCAAAAAGATTAGAGTTGCATATGGGTGCATACTCTTCTGGGGTGTATAGAGTAAGATAGTTTCTAGGTACCAACTTCTCTGCCCTCTCAAAGGTTACCCCAAGGGAAATAAGACTCGGGATAATGGGTAGGACTAGGCTTTGCTGTGTCTTTTTCCCCCTCTTGTCTCTAACCCTGGCGACCTCTGGGTTTACCTATGTCTGTGTCGTCCAAAGGAATGATTTTCTTAAGGAGATAAAGATCATGTCCCGGCTCAAGGACCCAAACATCATCCGCCTCTTAGCCGTGTGCATCACTGACGACCCTCTTTGCATGATCACTGAGTACATGGAGAATGGAGATCTCAATCAGTTTCTTTCCCGCCACGAACCCCCCAGTTCTGCCTCCAGCAACGCACCCACTGTCAGGTATATAAGCCAGGTCTCCCATCTCTTCCCTGTGTTCATGAGATTAACCTGGGCTCTGAAGATGGGGAGCAGCGAATGTTAAAGTTCCTCAGTGTTCGGGCATGGCGGGGAGGCTAGTAATCAGGAAATAATGGTGCCGCTGCCCTTTGGGGGAAAGCAAAGAGATTCACTGAGAACAGAGAAAGGATGTTGAGGTTGAAACTCCAGTTCGTTGGTACCACCTGTAGAAAGAGTGCCTCTCACGGCTTCCTCTTCCCATAGGCCACTTTCTTCTTTTTTATTCCCTCAGTTATGCCAACCTGAAGTTTATGGCTACCCAGATCGCCTCTGGCATGAAGTACCTTTCCTCCCTTAATTTTGTCCATCGAGATCTGGCCACACGAAACTGCTTAGTGGGTAAGAACTATACCATCAAGATAGCTGACTTTGGAATGAGCAGAAACCTGTACAGTGGTGACTACTACCGGATCCAGGGCCGGGCAGTGCTCCCCATCCGCTGGATGTCTTGGGAGAGCATCTTGCTGGTGAGTTCCTCACAGGTTTTTGGTTTTTTTTTTTAAGATTTTATGTATTTATTTGAGAGAGAAAACAGAGTGAGAGAGAGAGAGGAAGCATGAGTGGGGGGAAGGGCAGAAGGAGAGGGAGAAGCAGACTCCCTGCTGAGCAAGGAGCCTGACGTGGGACTTGATCCCAGGACCCCGGGATCATGACCTGAGCCGAAGGCAGATGCCTCACCGACTGAGCCACCCAGGAACCCCAGAGTTCCTCACATTTTTAAGCCCTACCTCAGCAACTGACATGTAGGCAGGTGCACGTGGCCCATAGGGACAAACCTGTAGGAAGCAAACAACAGATGCTGGTATTTTCTCTGACTTGAGATAATTTACTTGGTGTATTAATTATTATTATTTTTTAACACTTGCCTATTTCTGCTGATAAAATGTAACACTCTCACTACAGGAAATTTGGGGAAAAGGTTAAAAATGCACCTATCATAAGGGATTTAGGATTATTTTTTTTCTCTCTACCCTTTCGACCTACTGATTGGTCTTCATTAATCTAGGATATTAAAAACCTTATCACTTAAATGATATCCACACAAAATATTATTTTTCTTCTGTATTAACTTCATAACCATGTTTCTAATGAAGTATTTAGACTGACGTCTATATGTTTATTTTAATGATTATCACTGTTTCCTTTTTATTTTAAGTTCATCATTTTTTGCTTTATAATTTTTATTCAATTCTTGGTATTCTGGACCACGAGTGAATAATTTTTTTCCAAATGTCTCTCTTGGGGGTATATTTTCTGACCATGCATATTTGAGACATTTTATTGTTGATTTTACACCACTTGGCTGATTTATGGAATTATTAGACTTTAAACATTTACTTCCTACAATGCTGTGTACATGTAATTTTGTCTTTTGTCATTTAGTATTGAAGAGAAAAGCCTGAGAGCAACCTAGCTTTGTTCATTTGTAGTTAATCTGTTTATCTCTTGTTCATATTCTCAAAGGATTCATTAATTAAATTTGAAATGAAAAAATATATATAGTCATTCCCTTTCTCTCACCAAGATAACCATTATTAGTATTTTGGCATATTTCCTTTGAGGGTTGTTCTCTATACACACATTTCTGTGTTTGTGTATATATGTCTATGTATATATGTATGTGTATATGTATATACGTGTGTATGTGTATATGTATGTGTATGTGTGTATACATGGGTGTGCATACATATGTGTATATACATGTGTATGCATATGTATGTGTATGTGTATATACATGTGTGTATGGGCGTATACGTATGTGTATGTGTATATACCTGTGCGCGCGCCTATGTATGTGTATGTGTATATACATGTGTGTATGTGTGTATGTGCGTATACGTATGTGCGTGTGTATATACATGTGTGCATGTGCATACGTATGTGTATGTGGATATACCTGCGTGTGCATATGTATGTGTGTGTATATACATGTGTGTGTGCATATGCATGTGTATGTGTATATACATGTGTGTATATGTGTATATATACAGTAGTCTCCCCCTTATTTGCAGGGGATATGTTCCAGGACCCCCAGTGGATGCCTAAAACTGCAGACAGCTCTGAACCCTATATATACTATGTTTTTTTCCCATACATACATATCTATGATAAAGGTATAATATATATATTTTAATATTTTAATACAGAAATCAGGCACAGTAAGAGATTAAAAACAGTAACTAATAATAAAATAGAACCATCATAACAATATATTGTCAAAAGTTATGTAAATATGGTTTCTCTCTCTCTCCAAAATATTGCACTGCACTCACCCTTCCTTTTGTGACAATAAAAGATGCTGCAGTGCCTACATGACGAGGTGGAGTGGGTGCCTTGTGAGGCACTGTGATGTAGCGTTAGGCTACTACTGACCTTCTGATGATCCATCAGAAGGCAGATGCTCTGCTTCTGGACCGCTGTTGACTGTGGGTAACTGAGATCGTGGAAAGGGGGACTGCTGGGTACATATAATTACATTCCATAACCAGGATGATGCTATGCGCATATAATTCTATATCACTAGCATTTCCCATGTCATTAAATATTCTTCAAAAGCATGGTTTTAATGGCTATGTAATATTCCAGTGTATGTATCTATACAATAATTTAATAACATCTCTGTAATTTGATATGTAAGTGCTTTCCAGTTTCCCACGATTACCACCGATGCTGTGATATACCCCAGTTTACATAAATCCTCACAAGGATCTTTATCATCTCTGTATGTGAAGCACATATTTTACCCACCTCTAATGTGATTAGTGAGCATTGCTCCCTTTAAAGGTATTGTACAGCGTTGTGAAAGAGGATTAGTGTGAGATTCACAGGATCCTGTTCTGTATCTCGGTTTTTCCATTACTCATGGCCTTACTCTCTAGGAGATTTTAGTAAACCTTCCTTGTCTCACTTCTCTGATCTGAAAAAATAAGAATGAGTAACATCATGTACTTGAGTGTTGTATTACTGAATAGGAAATTTGCACAATTTTATGCGTGCTGATTACACCTGAATCCCATCGCTGTCACATGCTGGTCTGCCCTTCAAGACTGTGACTTTCACTGACCTGGGAAGTGAGAGTCCTGGATTCTCCCAGGGACCTCTCCTGGCACTTAAACTAGATTCCTCTACCTTTAACGTAAAAATGATTGCCTTTTCCCATTCTTATTTTGCCTTTCCCACAGGCATTTTCCCAAGGTTGCCCTCCGGCCTGAAGTTTGAGCTTCTGACACTCAGTGGGAGAGTCAGATAGCTTATGGCTGCACCTCTTTCAGCCCTGGGATCTCATCTGCCGGAGAAGCAGACCTAAGCTGAGAACAGGAGGGCGAGACAGTGGCCTGAAGCTTAATGTCAGAACAACTTGACTTTGTTGTTTTAGATTCTCCATACACATCGTGGCACTTTTAGTGTTCCTTGCCCTGGGTAGTGGAATGGGGTAAACAGGTCACGTGGATCTTTACCTGCTCTTGTCACTCATAGGCTGTTCCGGTTTCCTCTTCTCCTTGCATAAACAGGGCAAATTCACAACAGCGAGCGATGTGTGGGCCTTTGGGGTGACTCTGTGGGAGACATTCACCTTTTGCCAGGAGCAGCCCTATTCCCAGCTGTCAGATGAGCAGGTCATCGAGAATACTGGAGAGTTCTTCCGAGACCAAGGGAGGCAGGTGAGAACTGCTGGGGATGGCCAGGTCTGGATCTGGGTGCTCCAGAAGGCAAGAGGAAGAAAAGTCCTGACTTAGCAGGTTAGCCTGAGCTGGGATGGGCCACCTGGATGGCAGTCTTTGGTCACTAATTATCCAGATGACATGAAAGACCAAGAGGTACCCCGACTCCTGCCCGGCCAGCCCTACACTCTGCTTTATCCATATGGCAACCCATGGTCATTGGAGGATATGAGGAGTTAAGTTACATCAGGAAATAAAATCCTCTCTCTCTCGTGTTTGCTCTATTTCTTGATCTAGACTGTGTGGTTTGTCCTCCTAGTTGACATACATACAAACAAAAATATAAGTTTTCAAGTGAATAAGGAATTTATTGGCAGTGGTTAATCATTTGGTTTGGACTAAATATTTAGCAATGTTTCTAGATTTATATGCCCAGAGACGATCAGGTGCATTCTGGAGCGTGGCCTCTCAGAACTTGGGAAAAGCTGGATCTCCATGCTGACAAGGATCCCAATTCCCAGTCAGGATAGTCTAAGATTTCTTTGCCTGGCTCAGTTTGTAAAGTCCCTATGAGATGTAGGATTTAGGGTTTGTTGATGTGGCTGGAGCACTCAATCTCCCAGAGTGGCCCGCCCACAGCGCCCTGGAACGTGGCAGCTCAAGCTGACAGCCGGGGATGGGGAGAACGCTTTTGCAGAAAGAAAAGCTCGATTCTCCGATGGCTTAAATGGCTTAAATACATTGAAGCAAGAAAAGATAAGGGAAGGACAAGAGATAAGACAATACGGAGGTTGAAGATAAGAGGGAGAGGTCCTGGATTTCATTTTATCTTGACACTTTATAGAGATCTTGGGAGCAGGGGATCCAAATTATCTTCTTGGTTATAAAAATAATTGCTTTCTTACCATGACAAAGGGCAAATTTACTCCTCTGTGCAGAGATAAGTGAGTGGACCAAGGAAAAAAATGTTTTTCCTCCTGGACCAATCCGTCATGACCTCAGGTTGACCTTGTTTCGTTTTAATTTCTAACAGTCTCCAGGATTTTATTTTTATTTATTTTTGAATACTCTGCTTAAAAGGGCCCACCATTTCATCTTCACTAAATACTAGTAGTGAACCAAATATATTTTCACCAACCACCAAACGGTCGAATAGTGAAGTTTAGTATTTGAGTGAAGCCAAGGTCAAAATCAAATATTAGTATTATATGCTGAGTAAGCTTCTTGCCTATAGGTGTGAGTTTAAATTGTCAATAAAAATTTATTAAGTTGAGCACATTAATTACTAAACATAATTTATCAAATTTACACTTGATTACATTTTACAACATTTAATTACTTTAAGTTTTATTACTAACATTTCAGTATTCACATTTTAAATGTTTGATACTAGAGTGCAGGGACAGTCATTTCTCAACCCTATCAGCTGCGAGGTGGACTCTGTGGTCAGCAGACTCCTCTCTGTGGCCCAGTCTGGGGGAGGGGGTCACAGAGAACGTGACGATTGGAGCGACATGGATACATCCTGGGACATGGATACATTGCAGGGCCTGTGTCCGGCTAGGGTCCTATTACAGTGGGGGAGCTGAGACAACGTGTCGCCGCACCGCCCCCCCCCCCGCCCACCATGATTGGCTTGGCCAAGATCAACCTCAACGTGCGTGGGCCATAAACAGAGGATTTCGTGTTTTAACCACTTGCTTTTCAGTCTGAGACCTCTTTTTGCTTCAGGTTCATCTTTTGTGTGGCGACAGAGACCTCAGAGTGGTTCATCAGGAGATCCTGGTCCAGACAATGAGGCACAAGGGAAGGGGTTGGGGCCAAGACAGGAGTGGGAAGAGCAGGCACCAAGCTTGTTTCAAGTTCAAGCAGGGAGGGAGGCAAATAAAATCACAGTGCAACTACACTTCCTTTTTGCCCTTCTTTTTAACATTCTTATTTTTTGTGCACTTTTGTTTTCAAAGACTTACCTCCCCCAGCCTGCCATTTGCCCTGACTCTGTGTATAAGCTGATGCTCAGCTGCTGGAGAAGAGACACCAAGCACCGTCCTTCGTTCCAGGAAATCTACCTTCTGCTCCTTCAACAAGGGGACGAGTGATGCTTTCACTGCCTGGCGACATTCCAATGGCCCAGGTCCTTCTCATGAGACCTACCACTCACCCACGCCTAAGCCACTCCATCTGGACATTGAATGGGCCTGGGAGACGGAGGCTTGTTGGCTTCTCTCTCTCTGTCCCTGGCCTCCCTTCACTCCACTCCCTCACTCTCTATTCCCGACCCATATATACTCTTTTTTTTTACATTAAAGAACTAAAAAAAGAAAAAAAAAAAGCCTAGGGCAGATAAAATCTAGTAAAGAAATCTTACTTAATATACCAAAGTGTTGGATAGCAGGCTAGACAATTTAGATAATTTATAAAGGTTAAATATGCTATGTTTATAAATGTGCAGATGCTACAATATTTTTCCCATGTCACCTTTTAAAATGTATTTTCAGAACGAAAAACTTGAAGAATACTCATGTCTTAGGAAACATGAGATGAGGCTTAGGGAAAACACGCGGTAAGTGTGGAGAATCGGATGCAATGGTTGGTATTCAGCAACTGATCATAGATTTCTTGGTTTCCCAATTTGACCCTCTGGACGTGTCCCACCCTCTGTGTTTCCCTCTCCTGTCAAAGCAGATGATACATGCTTGAGAAACCCCCGCTTCTTGGAGCGGGTGTTTGTTCATTTGTGGGCAGGGGTCAAGGGTAAGGTCGATATGGTCTATATGTGTAGGCAACACAGAGGACGTGCATAGGAGAGAATGTCTACTGCAAGGCTGTATGCAGGGGAATTGTCACTTGCCAAAAAAGAACCTCGTGCACGGAAGGGTTCTTGAACAGAGAATGGATATAGGAAAAGAGGTCTGTGGAGGACAGGTAACAGGTGTGCTAGTCACCTGTGATTTCTGCAGAGGGTCCTCTTCGTATTCAGATGTTACCAGGTGTGTTTTTCAGTGAGAGCCTGGTTTTGAATCAGTAAAGACTGGTGTTTTGATGTCTGGATCACAGGCCCTTTAATTCATCTTCTCTAAGTCTTTCAGCTCTTTTAGTGGATACATCCCCTAGGGAACCCATGTCTGAGGGCTCTGTGTAATAGGGAGTAGATCTGCGCGTTTCCAGAATGTTGACCAATGAGGGCCAGTGAGGGAAAGTTACAAGCAGATAGATTTCTACTCCTTATTAGAGAAAGCCTAGCCAGCAGAACACACAGGGTGAATGGGCCACCTCCAGAGGGTGGGGGATGGGGGGAGTCCTTTGTCACTGAAGAGCTTCAGATGTGGGCTGAAGAATAGGCAAGAGAGATGTAGGCTTTCAAACACAAGGTAAATGGTTGTATGAGATGATATTTAATGTCCTTTTAACCCCAAGAGTCCTTGATTTCAGGGAGACACAGGGTGAGCACGAAAGAGAAGTCATTCACTGCTCCTGCTTCATACACACTCTGGCCTCAGAGATGGTGTGGCCAGCAGAAGAGAAATCGGGACAGTCTGGGCTCAGAATTCATGGAGACTGATACACGGTCAAATGAGTCCCCTCAGAATGGACTGTGAGCTCCACAAGGGCTCGGATTTAGTGAGAAGCAGGAAAGGGGGCCTCTCAAGTTTTTCTGTAAGAAAAACTTACAGAATAAACTTCCCAAGCTCAGAAGAAATAGTCTTGAGTCCTTGGGTCTGTTTCTGGAGCCCTCACCTGGTCCCCCTTGTGCACAGTCGCTCAGGGACTTGACTGTTCTCCCTTGTTCAGCCTTCAGCATTGCTCCAGGCTGCAGCAGAAGCAAAGTTCCCAAATCCCCCAGATGGTCTTCTGACCCTAGTGAATACCTGCCCCCAGTGAATACCTGCCCCCATCGCTGTCCTTTGACTCTGGGATCCAGTCTCTCCCAGGACTAATTCTATGGAGATTGTAGGTTTGGGAGTCAGGAGAGCGTTGGTTGGGGATCTTTGGTCCTACTTCTGCCCCAAGCCAAGTGTGTCACCTTGGACAAGTCACTTTACCTTTCTGGACTTCCGTTTCCCTATCTGTAGAATGAGGACATTGGATTAGATGGTCTTGAAGCCTCTCCCGGTCCTGATATGTGCAGGGTGGGTTGGATAATTCTACAGTTGATACGATTCCCTTATCTGGTCCTCTCCTGCTCTGAAAATCGTGGTCAGCACAAGGAATCATGCAGGGAACTCACTATAATAGTAACAGACACAGCTGCCACGGGTACAGTGCTTTGAAGTGTTACCAGGCATTTCCACAGACATATCTCAGTTCATATGTGCAGGGCCAGACATGTTCTTATCCCCTATCCTCTGCCTTCAGGACCAGGGTTAACTTCATGTATTAGAGAGTTACCTAGAGAAATAGAACCAATAGGATATATATACATAGATATATATAATTTATTATAAGGGATTGGCCCACATGATTATGGAGTTTCAAGGTCTCACCATCTGCCTCCCGCAAGCTGCAGACCCAGGAAAGTTTTGAGAAACAGAGGGCAGGAGAAGACTGACATTCCAGCTCAGCAGTCAGGCAGAGAGCGCAAATTCGCCCTTCCGCTGTCTTTTTCATCCATTCCCCCACCCCTCTCAGTGGATTTGATGAGCCCCCGCACGGGAGAGGGCGATGCGCTTCACTCAATGCACCCGTTCAAATGCTAATGTCATCTGGAAACACCCTCACAGAAACATCCAGTTATCCGGGCACTCCCTGCCTAATCACCTCCCTTCAGTAGAATCAAAGGGCCTTGAAATCAGGGCAGACCGCCTATCCTCCTTCATCCTCATGCCTCTGGGAGGGCTCCCTGCAGACCGTGCCCCACAATTTCTTGTGTGGCGAGAGAATACATCATATCCCCGTTTTCGCCTCATCTCGCCCTTCTTTCTTCTTACCTTTCTGCCTCAATTCACTGCGTTCCATGGTCCCATATTAAAAAAAAAAAATACTGAAAATCAACTTAGTGTGTCTGGATTTCCCTGGCCTTGAGTCACAGAGTGATCTGTTTCAAGTGGCTGGCAAGCATGCGTTCTCCCGTACAGTGACCCTGTCTCGGGAGGAGGACACTCATTGTCCGGCACCGAGACTCTTTGATCACAGGCACAGCTCTAGGGTCTAGCCCTGTGGTCGGACCCAAAGAGCCTCGCTGCACAGACCCAACAGACCCAACAGAGGACATGGTGAAGGCTTAGTATGTTGAATTTAAAAGCAGGTCCAACCTCGATGAGAAGAATGTAGCTGGGAATTTTTAGAAAGGTACATAGGAAAAGGGACAGCCAACCAGGGGGCTTTGTTACGTGTATAGTGAGTTGTCCTCTTGATGACATACATGAAATAGTTTATGTCCAGATTGTGTTTGTGGATTGGCAGATTTAAATTTATACTTTTGCCAGTGAATGGGCTGACAACTAGGTCCACATCTTGATGTGCCGTCCAGACACATATGCAATCAGATGAGATCTGAAGTGGGAAGAGGCACCGGGGAGAGAATGTGGTTTTTGTGCCGTGGAAAGGTCACTTACAAGTGCACGAGACAGTGTAACAAAGAGCATTGTATGGAATTGGAGTCAAAAGTGAAGCAGTGAATGTGCACGTGGCTGAGTGGGGGAGGTGGGTGGGAACCAGAGAGAAGGCGACACAGAAAGAGGTAAGGGAGGGTATGCAGGGAAGGATGCAGGGAGGGGCAGGGCAGCAAGGTGGAAACAGGTGGCGCAGGTGAGAACCCGTGCTGAAGCATGAAAAGAGGTCCGAGAGAGGGCAGGAAAAGCAAGTGTCTTGAAGATAAAGGATAGCTGTGTATAGAGAAAGAAATTCTGAATGATAGAGATTATAAAAGTATTTACTGAAAAATGAAAAGGCAGGTGCGACGTATGAAAAGGAGGGGAGCTTTTCAGAGTTTTCAGAAAGGGCAAGTCCTGACAGAAACACATAAGCAGCCATCAGGGAAGGGTCTTCTCGGTTCCGGGGAGGTGGGGGAGGGGGCCGTTAGAGCATCAGTGGCTTCTGGACCCCTGCAGGTGCTGGGGATCCCCGTGGCGGGAAGAAATCAACCCTTTGCCTGAACTAGACTGGTTCCCAAGTGCCACTTTGGAAATGAAGACCTAGAGATAGGGAATTTATGGCATTTCATGGGTCTCTTTCCCCCTTCTCTTGTTTCTGTTAACCATATCCCCTTTAAATAATGCCCATCACTGCTGTGCCCAGAAAGGCCACAGGGAAACATTGAAACAATGGGCTGAAATTAGACAAGACTAAGTCTTGTTTGATATCTATGCAAAGAGGTATGTGCCACGTTGGAACCATGTGTTTTTCTAGTCCCATCCGGACTTCCCACAAGAAAGCCATGATGTGGGGCTAAGCCATGTGTTTTGAGTAACGGGGAACAGAAGAAGGGGAGTGTCTGCAAGAGGGAGAGATGAAGATGTTCCAAGGAAATATTCTAAAACAGAACAGCATCTGTTTTTCCCAAAACTGAAAAAAAAATGAAGAAACTTATAGTTAGGGTTTAGATTACTCCAACATGAGTCTTTGATCCGAACTTGAATTTATATTTATATACCTGCCATCTTGGTCTCTTCAGTAAGACCCCTGACTTCTCGCAGGGCATATGGTAGGTCCCAAAATATTTCTGGAATTTGCAGATCCTGATCTATGCTGGGAAATCCTTCTGAATTGAAATTTAACATTTTTATAGAAACAGATGAATGTCTTTTCCACTTGGTAAATGTCTTGGAATGCTGAATCAAGACAGAAAGAGACTAGAATGGTTAACGGTGATTGGATTTTTGGCATTTTGAGTTCTCTGGCACAATTAGCTGCATTGCTTGGTGGCAGACAAGTGGTGGGTAATTATTTACTTGCTGTATCGTAAAAAACAAAACAACTTGTTATTTTGAAATACTTTTAAGACTCGTAAGAAGATGGGAAAATAGTAGAGCAGCCCTACCCTAACACCAGGCTTTCCCCATTGATAACATCTTCCATAGCCATTGTCTATTTTCAAGCCCAGAAGGTTGACATTTGTAATATTCTTAACTAAACTACAGACCTTACTCAGATTTCACCAGTTTTTTTTACATGTACTTACTTAGTTTCTGGATACTTCATCCCTTTCTAATTTGTAACCTGGCCTTGCTTGGATGCAGCAGGAAAAACACTATCTGGATACAATTCTACAAAATTCTAAAGAGAATATAACACATTAATCTGTTCCTTTATCAATGAGCAATATCCTGCCTAGACTGCTTCCACATTTTCTGACTAGTTTGGCTCTTTAGCATCTGGAAC